AGGGAATATTATCATGTTTGAATTGTTCATACCGAAGTTTGATTTCCCTTATTGTTTGTGTGTGAATTTGCAATTGGATTTTGTGTGAAGTGCTGAAAGATTGTGTCAATCGAATTTCGGTTACTGTATTGGGTAGAAGCATATGGAGTAATCAAATTCGAAACACATCAGATTTTTATGTGTTTGGCTAGTATGATGTGGTAGAACCCGAAATTCGAAACTCCGAAAGAAAAAAAACTAAATTTGTAACACTTCGGTTATGTGTCTTGCTTATTGAAACTTTATTATTCTGAATTTACTCCAACAAGGATCCTTTCTACATAAAGAGGTTTTAGATGGTTCTTTTCTGAAATAGTAGATGCGGTTATGAGCTTATCATAAGCCTAGTGTGGCATATGAGATCAAAGGTCCTGGTTGCAAAAGTTTTTTATTTGCAATTTGTAATTGTCAAGGTTTTCAAGGCGCAACGACACAAAACAAATGTATTAACGAGAGTTGTACAGTAGATGCGGATATGAACTTATCATAGGCCTAGTGTGGGTTATTGGTTTTGATGATCCTGGTTGTGAAATTGCAGGTTTCACAAGTCAGCAGGAAAACATATCTGATGCTTCGATGCCTGATAACACGGATCATATCATTCATCAAAGCAGAGCAGAATCGCTTCAGCCTCGGAAGCATACTGAAACATTGGCAGAAGCCTCCGCTTCAGATCCTCGAGACACAACGCTACAACCGTCTCCTGCAACATCAAGTGCTCAAACCCCATCAGTGGTAGATTTGGGTGCTTCTCAAGCATTTACTCCTTTGGTTAGTTTTGTGAACTCCATCACTCCAAATCACATTGGAGCCGCCATTGATGCTTCAGTATACGCGCGGATGTTCTCAGCTCTCGCGATTGCCCTTCTTGTCATACTATCTCATTTCGGGTTCTCTTCCGTAAGCAACATAGTAAGCTTCAGGCCTGTTTTCTTGCTTCTCTTGACCGATGTCACAATTGTGCTTGGAATGGTTCTGCTGAGCCATCATGGAGATTCTTCCTCAGCATCAAGACGAGAAAACTTGGGAACAGTAATGGACGGACAGGGCATAGCGGACCAAGTAGGCAACGCGTTGGAGATGGTCATGGTCGTGAAGAAGGTAATGGACGCGGTTTCTATGGATTTTAGCTTATACGCCGTGATGCTCATCTGTGGCCTCTTGTTCACACAAAGCATCTTTGCTTAAGTCATCGTTTCTCCGTTATCTCCGAGTAGGTTTGTGGTAAGTAGATTTTGTGTTATTGTGCTTCTGGTTTTGAGTTCATAAAAATTATACTTAGTTCCAAAGAATAGTTGCATGTTTCAGATTTCTTTCTTTCTTTTTTTACGTTTTTGGATGCTAAGTGATTCACTTGCACGAGAAGATTATTTTGTTTTCATTATTCATTAAAAAGTTCTTGTTAAGTTAAATTTAGTTTTGTTTGTAAATATTTTGGTGAATATCTCAAGTTTTCAATTTGGAAGAAGCAATCTTAGGGTTCTATTTGTGGCTGTAGCTGTTCTTGTTTGATATTTTTTTCTTACTTTCTGTGTATTTTGGTTTTACGTTTATAGAGAAAAATGCTTCACCTTCATTTTTTGTTTTTTCTGCAAGTCAAATTAACAAACACACATTACACATTCGGTGGTGTTGGTACAAACTACTAATAATATATAGTATATGATTCAGTATTGGTTTGATAACCATAAATAGAAAATTTGCCAACTGGAGAAAGCCATAATGGTTTTGAGTAGAAGAGAACAAAACCATCCTTCTCGATCTCTCTTCTCG